CAATATATATATATAAAAGAAGAATATTTTAAATTGAACTTAAACAAGGAAACAAAAAGTCAAACTGTATGGGATGCTTGTAAAGCAGTCATGAGAGGTCTTTTTATACAACAAAATGCTGGGGGTGGGGGGTGGGAGCCACGGAAGCAAGGATAAAAGAAATATTGGCTGCTTTATCAAAGCGAGAAAATGAATTAGGAAAAAACCCCAAATAAACAATCAATAAAACAGGCAATGAAATTACTACAATCACAGTATTCAATGAAATAGCATGGAAAGTTTAAAAAAAAGAAAGAAAGAGAAATTCTTTGAGCATGCAAACAAACCTGGAAAATTGTTAGCATGGCAATTAAGGAGAAATCAACAGATGAATCATATAGGTAAAATTAACTCCAATGGGGAAGTTTAAACAAAACAAAAGAAATGAGGGAAGTCTTTTAAAAATATTTTCAGAATTTATACAAAAGAGGAAATGAAAAGGCAATCAACATACAGGAATATATTAAAAAGAGTCATCTGCCAAAGATAAAACAAGAAGAAAGAGTATTCTTAAATATGTAACTAACAGATCAAGAAATCTCTGATGCAATAAGTCAAATAAAGGTGGGCCACTAGGACCAGATGGATTATCAGCAAAGTACTATACATTTTTTAAAGAACAGTTTGTAAATCCAGTGAAAGATATAATGAGTGAAGTACTAACAGAAGGGGAAATTCCAGAAACATGGAAGGAAGCTTATATTACTTTGATTCCAAAACAAGATATAGATTTGACCCTGGTCAAAAACTCTAGACCTATCTCATTATTGAACAATGATTGTAAGATATTTGCTAATATTTTAGCTAATAGATTGAAAAAGGTCTTAAATGTTTATATACATCCAGACCAAGTGGGATTCCTTCCAGATAGGCAGATGAAAGATAATATGAGAAATATCTTAAACGTAATAGAGTATTTAGAAGTAAGAAATGAGAAAAAAAAGCAATGATGTTTATAGATGCGGAAAAAGCATTTGATAATATATCTTGGGATTTTATAAAGAAAGTGATGGAAGAAATGGAATATGGAGAAAAATATGTAAAAGGGATACAAGCTGTATATACAGAACAGAGTGCAAAATTAATTATTAACCAGGTGATAACGAACCAATTTAAAATAGAAAAAGGAACGAGACAAGGATGTCTGTTATCATCTTTATTATTCATTCTGGTTCTTGAGGTTTTGAACGGAAACATAAGAGCAGACAAGCAGATTGTGGGAATAAAAACAGGGGAAAATGAATTTACGTTGAAAGCATTTGCAGATGACTTGGTAATCACAGTTGAGGAACCAAAACTATGTCTCCTTAAGGCTTTAGAAAAAAATACAAGAGTTTGGGTGAGTGGCAGAATTTAAATTAAATAAAGGAAAGACAAAAATACTAACAAAAAATATTATGGAACTGGAGAAAAAGGAATTGCAGGAGATTACAAAAATAGAAATTCACAAAAAAGTCAAATATTTAGGAATTTGGCTTACTAATAAAAACTTAAATTTGTATAAAGACAACTATGAGAAAGTTTGGCAAGAGATTAAGAAAGATTTGGAAGTTTGGAATAGAATGAATCTCTCCTTGATGGGAAGGATAGCAGCAATAAAGATGAATGCACTACCAAAGATGTTATTTTTATTCCAGTCAATACCGATAATAAGCAATCTTGTCTGCTTCAGAAACTGGCAAAAATATATTTCTAAGTTTGTCTGGAATGGGAAAAAGCCTAGGATAAAATATAAAATACTTAAAGATACAAAAGATAGAGGAGGCTTCTCCCTTCCAGACTTGAAATTATACTACAAAGCAGCTTGCATCACATGGATTCGGGATTGAATTAAATTAGAGAGATGAAATACTGAACTTGGAAAAACATGATAATAGATTTGGTTGGCATTCATATTTATGGTATGGGAAAGATAAAAAACATAAAGGTTTTCATAATCATATAATAAGAAAAATGCTTATAAAAGTTTGGAATAAATATAAAGACTTTCTAGAACCATGGTGGCTCTCGCTGGTGGAAGCATTAGCATTAAAACCACTTAGTAAAGGAGGAAATTGGTCTACATATAGATAATTATTAATAGAGGCAGAAAGAGGGTTAAGGCTGAAAGGATATGAGGAATTGAAGATCTTTTTACAAAGCTGGTTACATCATAGACAATTAAATGAACAGTTTAAGGAAGACAATAAGAAAGGTTTTAGTTATACAGTTTCAAACTTTCAAAAAGAGATATATGAGCTAAAGAGATAATTGTTTGGAGAGAGAGAGAGAGAGAGAGAGAGAGAGAGAGAGAGAGAGAGAAACACCCTCCATTAATATAGCAGTTTTATGCAAAGTCAAATGCACTTGGTATTTGCATTTGGGCATCCATATAAATAATGCATTCTTCAAAGCAGCAAACTTTATTTCTCAACTGTACTACCTGTGTGACTAATGATGAAATTGCAGATCCAGGGTAGTTTATTCTGATCAATACTGAAGTGGAGAGCAAAGGGATAAAGGCACTACCTCCATTCACACAAGGATCTCAATCTGCATCAGCCACCACTCAATTTTTCTTTAAAGCTTATCACAGCATTGTTAATTGCCTGATGGGCAGTGCTTCCAATTCCTCCTCTGATAAAACCATCTTAATTAGCTTTTAAATTTTATGGTGTTGCTTCAATGGAAGCCAGGCTCTGCTTTATAAAGCGGGTCCCCAGCCTATGCATACAGATTGTCAGTTCATGGTTGGCATGAATGCGCCCCGAAATGTTTTAAATGGTGCCCTATTAATTAAGAATGCTTTCCATGAACAATACAGAAACTAAAAAGAATCAACAACAAGGAGCATTAGAAACAGTAAGTGGGGTGTCCATGTGAAAAATATATTGCTCAGTTTTAGTTCTATGAAAACTATGTTCCAGTTATAGGTTCATTTACTTTTTTATTTGTTAATGAACTGCTTTCAGTCTGCATAAAACATGCAAAGGAAAGAAAGAAAAAGAATAATTGATCTGATTTTTTCCAATGCACCCATTCCTGTTTCCAAACAGCATAATACAAGCTAGAAAAAACAAAAAATATGAAAGCACTATTAAATTTTCATACTCCTCTCAGAAGCAGGCATAGGTGTCCTACCTGTGGAATCTTATAAATATCCAAGATAGTTGCGACATGAAGGGAGGTCTGGGAGTCGAGACCCCCAATGACAGCTGTCAGATTATTCTGTGTATCACATATATAGTTGGGGAGAAATTTCTCCAGTGTAGATGAAAGTAGCATTGTGGCATGATACGTCTTAATTGCATTGACATAGCTGTCATAGATGTGGAAGCCCAAGGTGACATTTGGTAAGATGTGAGGGTTTTCATTGATCTCCTTGACTGCAAATGCCAAGGCCAGGATGTGCTGGTAAGCCTTAGGCACCACGCTGGAACAACAATTGCATTTTTGATCAGAAAATATTCCACAGTTTCATTCATATATATATATATCTTATACCCCGTCCGTCTGACTGGGACTCCCCAGTCACTCTGGGCAGCTTCCAACAAGATATTAAAAACACAATAAAGTGTGTTCTCCCTCATGGAGAGCACAGGTTGCGGGTTTGGCTGACAAGACACCTCACTGTTACTAGGGAAATGGTTTGGCCATCCTGTAAGCAGGGGCGGGCTGTTACTGGGGAAATTTAGATGTTGCCAATTAGTGATTGACAGCCCTATTTGTTAAATACAAGGCATGCAGCAACGGACGTCCTCTTTCGCTGCATGCTTCAGATCACCCGTCCTCCCTTCCCTAATAATAATAATAATAATAATAATAATAATAATAATAATAATTTATTTGTACCCCACCCATCTGGCTGGGCTTCCCCAGCCACTCTGGGAGGCTTCCAAAAGAATAATAAAATACTATAATACATCAAACATTAAAAGCTTCCCAAAACAGGGCTGCCTCCAGATGTCTTCTAAAAGCCTGGTAGTTGTTGTTCTCTTTGACATCTGGTGGGAGGGTGTTCCACAGGGAAGGCGGCACTACCGAGAAGGCCCTCTGCCTGGTTCCCTGTAACTTGGCTTCTTGCAGTGAGGGAACCGCCAGAAGGCTCTCGGTGCTGGACCTCAGTGTCTGGGTAGAACGATGGGGGTGGAGACGCTCCTTCAGATATACTGGACCAAGGCCGTTTAGGGCTTTAAAGGTCAACACCAACACTTTGAATTGTGCTCGGAAACGTACTGGGAGCCAATGTAGGTCTTTCAAGACCGGTGTTATGTGGTCTCTGCGGCCGCTCCCAGTCACTAAAGTTAGGCTGTTTGCTTGACCTTGCTATTGCCTGTCATGGGGTCGTCTGCTTTGGGGCAGGGGCCCAGTAGGAATTTTGCCATTTGGCTGCTGAGTGTGTGCCACTTGGTTTTCGCCTACCGCGTAGCAAGTCATCACAACTTGTAAGGTTTGCGGTTAGGCATTGGTCTGGAATTGGTTGCTGGGGGGTATGGATTCGGCTGTGCCTGCCCCCCAAAATGCTGCTGCTGGTGGAGGGGTATGGATTCGGCTGTGCCTGCCCCTCCAAACTGCTGCTGCTGCTGCTGAAGGGTTTTACCGTTAAAGGAACCCAGGGGCTCCCCCATGCTTTTGTCCGAAACTCCCTGGCAAGGGGCTCGGGCCACGCAAGCCCCTGGGAGCATGCTGGGGAGAGGTGAGGCATGGTTCCCAGTCCCGTCTCTCTCCCCAGGTAATTTACCCTTCCTGACTTCGCGGGGGGTGCGAATGTCAGAGCGAGCTGTCCCCGTGCGGGGGCAGTTAGTGCTACCAATGCCTAAGCAACCACTCACATTGCTGTATTTGAATAAAGTTGTGGCCAAAATTATGCCAAAAACCTTAAACAAAAATTAAGTGCCGGTTGTGTTTTTCTTGGGGGGGTGTCTTGGGGACCTCGACGCGCAAAACATTAACATTAACATTAAAAACTTCCCTAATGAAATTCATATCTCATTCTTCCTCCCAAATGAGCCCAGAGGAGGGAATATATATTTCTTATCAGAAATATATACTTCGATACAGAGAATTTTGAAGATTGATTTTCAATTGAAACTAGAACTTTTCCTGCTGGAACTCAAGGATATACAGTTAGAAAAGAACTATTGAATTTTAAAACAATATATGATTATCGTTGCAAGACTTTTATATGTAGAAAAATTGAAGGACCCATCATTACCAACAATGGAAGAATGCCTGGTAAAACTAACATGTTTCATCAGAGAAAAGTCATTGTTAATATTTGTCAAAGACTGGAAACCCGTCATGGACTTTTTGCATGAAAAAGAAAAAGAAATAATGATATTACTAAATTACGCCAACTTCAGAACACACCATATGCTATACTTTCCCAGTGAGATTCCTTTTTAAAGAAACTTTGTCAAAATGAACAGAATAAAAGAGCTATTTTATTCAAACAACGATACATTTAACCAAGCACATTATTTTACTACAGTACAACGCTTACCACCAAGCACCTTGAAAAGATCATTAATTGAGAGATGTAGATAGAGTTCATTGATCTCCCTGAGTTTATTGAGGTTTTCTTCCTTGTATGTGGATATAAAACTGTAAGACTACAATCCCATGGACTGTTACGAGGGAATAAGCTGCTCTCTCCAGAAAATCTGCTATAGTGCATTTTCTTTCCCTTCTGCATTTGGCTTAATGGCCATGATGCTTTGAATTTTATTACAGTTATCTCGTTTAGATATTATGTGTTCTGAGGCAGTCCTTAGCTTAAGTCGGCTTCAAGAAAAAAAGTACACAATGCCAACTTCAGAATACCATATGCTGTACTTTTCTCAGTGAGATTCCTTTAAAAAAAGTTTGTCAAAATGAACAGAATAAAGGAGCTATTTCATACCTTTAATCTAGTCATACTATTTCAACTATACATTTAATCCCGTACATTCTTACTACACTTACTACACTACAGCATTCATCACCAGGCATGTTGAAATGACCTTAAACTGAAACAGAGATGTAGAAGGAAGATAAAAGAAGAAGGACAGCTATGTGAAAGTAGGATGGTAGCAATCATAAGTCACAAGAGTTCTACTTCATAGCTTAAGCAACATAAATATCAGGCAGCATAACCGTCTGCTGGGTCCACAGTACAGTGGTACCTCGGGTTACATACGCTTCAGGTAACATACGCTTCAGGTTACACACTCCGTTAACCCAGAAATAGTACTTCGGGTTAAGAACTTTGCTTCAGGATGAGAACAGAAATCGTGCTCCAGCGGCGCAGCGGCAGCAGGAGGCCCCATTAGCTATAGTGGTGCTTCAGGTTAAGAACAGTTTCAGGTTAAGAACGGATCTCCGGAACAAATTAAGTACTTAACCCAAGGTACCACTGTATTAGATTATTACTGGTTTACGAGAGCAAATTTCCTGACTTTATATAAGTAAGGGAGCTACATATGTTTGTTTGGAAGCTTCATTATCGAGGAGGAAAGTTCAATATGGTACAGTGATTAGGGCATGGGTCTAGAAAGAGAAGGGCCAGTTTCAAATCCTTGCTCAACCTTAAAACCATGTGATGACCCTTCTTTCATAGGCCATATTAAAACCATACATTCATAGTGCTATGATAGCACTTTAAAGAGTCTTGGCTTCCAGAAAGAATCCTGGAAGCTGCTGTTTGTTAAGGGTAGTGAGAGAAATTTCATAGTAAATCTCTCTTTTCAACGAACTTTGAAAATTGTAGTTGTTAGGGAAACTGTTCTCAGGAGTGTCTATGAAAACTGCTGAAACACAAAATGAGAGTTGTCAGAATGGAAATAGAAAGGGGGACACAAGATGAGTAAAAAACAAATAGGAACAAAGGATAACAGAGCAAAAAGTGAGAGAAAGAATCAAAAGGAAGAGGACAAAGATGGTGTAGTTAAATAAACAAATGCATTTTTAAAACAACAACCCATGTTGCATTTCCTGTGGAGATTCTATTTTAACTGCTACTGCAGCCTGCGTGAAGATTAACACAATCCTTGCTCATGTCTACTCAGAGATATCCCTTTTAACTCAATGGAACTACAAAATGGAAATAAAAACAGACACAATACAAGTTCTTACGCAAGCTCTTCTGACAATGCAGGTGGGGGTTCTTCAGAGAAACTTGCTGAACTGAAAATAAAGGCACCGTGAGAAGCTATGCCACCGATGATGAAATCTCCTGGCTGATGATACTTGTGAAGTGGGTGGTGTAGATACTGAACCCTGCATTTAACGGTGTGGGCCTCCTGTGCCATGTGAGGAAACAGAGCCAGCAGCAAGACCACTAAAACTACCATCCTCTATGGAATGGTAAATCTTCAATCTAAACACAGATTCCTCCGTTGTTTGCTGTAGTACAATCATGAGAGTCTCTGTGATGAGAACTTCTTGCCTTAATGACAGTTCACTCTGTTCACAGCCCTGAGCTTCAGGGTCAATAGTGCAAAGAATCAGAGATCACAACACATGGTTGTTCTTGGTCCCCAGCCCCTCTGTCTTTAAATGGTGGCAGACATATTTGTAATATTCTTCAGTGTCTTTGCTATTTGTTTTGTTCATGGCAACTGAAATTCCACAGTGGGCTAGATGAGCACCAAAATTGGTGCTTTTCAGAATGAATCAGGAAATCGCCTGTTCAGATGTGGGGATTTCCTCTGGGAATTGCTGAAGAAAACATGTTTGTCACATTGGAATGGAAATATATCTGTTTTGCACAGTTAGATGGCAAGAGACCATTGTGATTGGAATGACCTACAACATGAAACAAATTGGATGTTTTGCATGATCTTCGCTAAAAGGCTGTGAAGGAAATACTGCATACTTATCATTGACTGTAATAAGAAGATTGAGGGACTGACACTGGAGATAATTGTGTACCACCATTAGAGCAAAAAGCAACTTTTTGATCTAGGGTTGATCTTCCTGAAAAAATGTTATTGCCAACATAATGTATAGAAAGAAAAGTTGCTTCAGTATCTTTTTGTAAGCATTGCCCCAGTTTTTTAAACATACAAACTTTTCATGCCACAATAACTCAAAGTTTCTCAATGTGACCCCTTTGTGCTGTCACCCATCCCTTTGCAATGATAGAAACACCCCCATGGGAAGGAATCTCCACAACTTACTTTAAATCAGCTGATGCAAGATTAACTATTCACTAAGATTGTTAAATTGATATTTTATACATCAATGGAAAACTGATATTTACATTAGGCAATTTCTAAGAACTCAGGAGATGCTGCTATGATGCATTGTATACTGTAGCTAAGTGATTCCAATCTATATACAGCCATAGATGGTGTATCAAGTGAAGCTGGTACAAGCCATTCCTAGCCAGCAAGGTCATTTGTCCCTCTCATGATTAAGACATATCCAAGAGTATTGCCAAGCTATGAACCTTGCTCCTTTAGATGGAGTGCAAATTAACCCAGGACAAGCATTGAGCCATCCGAAATTAAGAGTTTGTGTGCAACCCCGCCCCCCACCCTACAGATCCTGAATTAAGAAATGGAATGAGGCAGCTGAGCAGAAGTGGGTTCTTGCCAAACATCTCAAACTGACACAGGGACCTCTGAAGCACTTGGGGGCATTTTCTTTTTCAGAAAAACCTTTCTAGTTCAGGTTTATCTTAATTCAATTTGGTTATATACAGTCCGGCTGAAGAATAACTGGTGAAAACTAAACCTAATTAACAGAAGCCAAATTATTGGGCGTAGGGGAGAGACAAATGGGGAATAAAAATTCAAATAACAAACACATCATTGTATAATATGTTTAATATATAGAAAGCATAAAGGATTCAGTAAGTAAAAGAGAACATCCTTTGCAAACTGTATAAAGTGCAACCAAAGGGTTAGAATCAAGCAGATAAGCGGATAATAGTTGGAGATTTATGCTAAGGTGGCAGTGACCCCAATGATTTCAGCATCAAATCAAACTTTTCTTTTCTTTTGCCTCTGTGCCACAGGCCAACAACATACTCATGTCAAAACAGCTTTGTGCTTCATTTCTGTGACTTTTCATACTAAATGTGCAGAACACAAGTCTGGACGTGCCCCCCACATCCAAGCTTGTTTTTCTGACATTTGTTTTTTTCCTTCTTCCTAGCTGTTCATGTCTTATTCTTTTGCGACTTTGTAGGTATCATCAGGCTAGGAAGCAACCATCAATGATCTGAGTTCTGAATTCACAGGCAAAATCAAACCACATGAGCAAATAGCAAGCCATGAGCAATAGCAAGCCATGGCTTCAGAGTATGCTTTGTTCCCCAGAGTATAAATAATATAAATAATGAAAATAAATAAATAAAAATAATTATTAGTGATAGTAAAAATCCTGAGTAAAACCACTGGCAGAGATCACACTTAATACTAATTCATAACTGTTAACTACAGTTTCTAAAACCTTGCAACCAGCATGATTATCCTCATCTTTCACCAGCTCCAGTCCTGCTTATTTTGGCCATTTGGTATTAACATGTTCCCCAACGGACAAAGGCATGTACTGCCCAAGGGCAACATGGGGCTCTTTGAAATCCCTATTGCACAAAGCTCTAATGCCTGCCATTCCTTTCCGCACTCCACCCCCGAAAGATTAGTTGCTTCCATCTAGATTTGAATAATGCAACTGTAGTTTTTAAGGAAGGAGCTTTTCTGTGCTTTTGTAGATTCCAAGTGATTTTTTTTCCAGCCAAGGAGAATTGCACAACAGTGAAATGTGTAGAAGGCTTAATATGTATGTACAAATATTCTACTGCATATACAGAAAGAAACATACACGCATACACTCCGTTTTGATGAGCAAAGGGCATATTTTCTTTCTTTCTTTCTTTCTTTCTTTCTTTCTTTCTTTCTTTCTTTCTTTCTTTCTTTAGTTTTTCTTCCTCATAAGCTGCTCCCTGTTGTTCAGCTGAGGCCTGAACACAATAATATAACATTTTGGGGAAAAGATGCAACCCAGCAGTCCAGCACCAGAGGCTAAGATAGAGAAGATCTCCACAGCAACCATGTATTTTCCCTTGGTGCTCAGGTAGGATGGAATAAAGGATAACCAAACACTGCAAAAGACCAACATGCTGAAACTGATGAACTTGGCTTCATTGAAGCTGTCAGGTAATTTCCTGGCCAGGAAAGCGACAATGAAACTAATAATTGCCAGGAAGCCCATATAGCTCAGAACAACATAAAACATCATCACAGACCCCTCATTGCATTCTAGTATAATTTCTTTAGCCACTGAGTAACTGTCAACATCTGGAAATGGGGGAAAGGTTGCTAGCCACACAATACAGATCCCTGCCTGGACAAAGGAGCAGCAAAGGACAATGGTGTTGGCCAGTTCCTTCCCCACCCATCTCCTCATCCTGGATCCAGGTTTGGTGGCCATGAAAGCCAGGACCACAGTGATGGTTTTTGCCAATACACAAGAAACAGCCACTGAGAAGATGATGCCAAAAGTGGTTTGTCGGAGGAGACATGTCACCTTCTCTGGCTGGCCCAGGAAGAGCAGTGCACAAAGGAAGCAGAGCAGAAGAGAAATGAGGAGAGTGTAGGTGAGGTTCCTGTTGTTTGCAATGACTATGGGAGTGTCATGGTGCTTCACAAATGTACCCAGCACCAGAGCTGTGATCAGAAAAAATGAAAGCGAAAAGCAGACTAAACTGATGCCCAAAGGTTCTTCATAAGACAAGAAGCTTATATCCTTGGGAATACATGCATCTTGGTTCTTGCTTGGATAGTCTTTGTCTGAGCATTTATCACAGTCACTCATATCTGGGGGGAAAGAAAATTACAGTCCCCAGCTCTTAGACGTTCCATCAATCACATCAGTTATATATTATATATTAATATCATATACAGAACTTATTTTTTTTTATTATTTAGTATTACCTGAAGGTAAAATTAAAATTCTTTGATTTTCCGAAAGAAGCTTATATGCTTTTAATCAAATGTAGACTTATGAAGCTAATTGTTGTGCAGATAATAAAAGATAATAGCAGATTTGAATTCCTAACACCCAAAAACTTATTTTTATTGAAGAAATTTGCTAAAATTAAGTTTCATTCCCTGAGATGACATGCCATCATGTGCTAAGCCAAGTATGATCAGAAAGGCATGCTAAATTTATTGCATGTTTGCGAAGGAGCAATGGTAACTGGTTACATAATTAAGTCAGAGAGCTCTCAAAGGAAAAGATGAGGCACTGACCTGCATGGTACCTAAATATATAGGGTGCATCAAGACTGCCATTATTTGGGTGTGGGATTAAATCACATATGTGCAAATTCACATTCTGCCATTGAAGTGGATTTGGAGCTCTCGCACAGGAAGCCCCCATCTCAAAAAGCATGAACTTTTTAAAATATGGAAAGTGATTGGGAAGTACACTACAAAGTTTGAAATTACATTGGTGTGATGCAAGCTTTCTAATATTGCCACAAACTAAGCAGAATGAGTACACAATAAACAGCTGCTTCTGTTTTTTCTATAACAAATGGCATGTAAACATTGAGCAAACAAATTAGGATTAAGGTTTAATAAAGAGATTGCTTGGAAGTAACAGCAGTGGGTAACACCTAGTTCCCTTGAAAGCAAGTGGACCAGTTAGTCATAACTTAATTTATCCCATTCCTTTTATGGGAAACTCAATGGAAGTACTGCATCTGGATCCAAATTTCTGCGTATTTCTCTTACCTTCCTGGTTTGAAATCTTTCCCTCTGGGCATGGGATGCAATCATAGCAGCAGAATGGTTCTCCTTCCTTCACTTTCTTCCTTGATCCTGCGTGACAACTCTCAGTACAGACAGAAAGAGGCCGAACCTAATCAGTAAATGAAGGAGAGACATGATATTCATGAGAATAATGCATTTGGAATCAGGTTCTGGAGACCTTCCTTATGTTGCTAAATTGTCACAGCATTTCAGTAAGCTGGAGATCAGCTCTGCAGAGAGTAATTCATCATCGTCTGTATTAAAACAATGAATACAGAGGAGGTATTATACATATTTTACCAGATTGCACGATATTATACCCCTTTGGGATGAAAAGTGTGCACAATTTTATCCTGGACAAATACATGAATTATTTTGTAAGTTTTCTTATTCTCCTGTGAACATTATCTTAGACATCAAAGCACAGAACTATTGCTCATTGAAAAATTAATCTCTTTTGAATTAGCTAAGAATGTGACTCCACCTGATTAAACCATCCATGCCATGTTATGGCATCTTCATGAAGGGTGAAGGCTTGGTCTGGAGGAGCCTCAGGATCCATCCTCCCAATTTTTACCCTATAAAAGGACTGGTTGGAGGAAATAACCCAGTTGATCACATCCAAGGTAGATATTACCTCCCCGTTCTGATTGAAGGACACTGTGTCTCCAGCACTGTTGTTAAATGAGACACCTCTCAGAAAATGATGGAGCTAGAATCAAAAGAGATAAGGCAAGCATTTAGAAGATGGTGGATCTGAATATTTCAAAGAGAGATCTAGTGCAAAGAGTGTAGCCCCGCTGCCTGCAACATACATTTAGCCTATTTGCGGTTGCGCTTTGAGGCCCCCAAGCCCTCCCCCTGAAAATAACTTCACACTGACTCGTAATTTTAGTTTAAGTTATTGGGCAAAATTTAGGGCACAACTTTATTGATTACAGTAAAGTGAGCGGTGTTGGCTTAGGCATTGGCAACAGAGTATCACTGACTCCTGCCTCTCTGTCTGGAAGTCTGAAAGGGTAAACACCAAATGAGGGAGCAACATCGATGAAGACCAACCAAAGTTCACCCCGGGGTTCCTGTGGTCCTGGCATGGCCCTAGCCCCTCAAGCGTTTGAGATCTAGGACCCCCAGATTCCTTTACCAGAATACTCTTATTCATGGAGGGGCAGGTGATGGCCGCTTCAATAACCAATGCCTAACCACCAAACCTTACAAAGTTGTGAGGATTGCATGGGGGTAGGCGAAAACGAAGTGGCTACATCCAATCTGCCAAATGGAAAAAAATTCCTACCCAGCCACTGCTTCAAAGCAGGCGACCCAATCCAAAGCAAGGCCAAAGCAGCAGCACCTAAAATTAGGGAGGTTCAGCAGCGCGATGCAAGTTCCCCCAGTTACACTACGCTGCCGCTTTTATAGTACCCAGGAATCATGCCAAGCACCACGATTGGCCCAAACAGCCTGGCACGACCCTGGGGCCCAATGGTTAAGGCTTGGGCCACGCCCGGCAACAACTCTCCCAGTGGGGGTGCTTTAGGGGCCGGTATGCAATCTGGACCCTCATTAAGGAGGATCCCATTTCACATATGGCTGCAGTGTTTCCTATACTACACTCCCCATTAGCCCTGCTAAGGTGTAGGCTAAGGGGTGTGTGTGTGTGTGTGTTTGCGTGTATGTATGGGGTCGGGGAGGGAATCCTATTTGTTTGACAAGCTTCAGGTGGAGAGGGAAGTGTTAATTCCTCCCAGCATCATATTTTAGTGAAAGAGATCATAATTGAGAATTGTGGGTAATAGTGAGAGTGAGAAAACAGACCAAATATTAACCTTGAATCACCTGGCGGAAAAGTATGCCGGCAAAGCCCCAAAGGTTCTTCATGTGGCTTTTATTGACCTTAAGCAGGCATTTGATCGAATCTCTAGAAAGCAGCTATGGACAAAACTGGCTGCTACAAAGATCGATCGTCGTCTCCTTCATCTGATTATCAGCCTCCATACAAACACCTTTCTGAGAATCAGGCTAGACAATAAAGGCCTAGTCTCCAACCCTGTTACCACCACTAGAGGGGTAAGACAGGGTTGTCTATTGGCCCCAGCATTGTTTAGCTTTTACATTAACTCACTGATGACTCACATGGCCAATGATGCTTTCCACCCCCCCCAAATTAGCAGGCCGATCTCTGAATGTTCTTCTGTATGCGGATGACGCCGCACTTCTTGCCAGATCCCCTATTGGACTGAGGAGAATGTTGCAAGCTCTACATGAATACTGTGATCAGCATGAGCTCCAACCCAACTATGTTAAGACCAAGATCATGGTCTTCTCTGCCCGACCGAGACTGCATCGATGGTCGATGAACGGGATCCCCCTAGAGCAGGTTAACTGCTTTAAATATCTGGGACAAGTAATACGGTCAAATAGGACTTTTCTGGCCCATAGAGACTATATAACAACTAATGCATCTAAAGCAGCCATCCAGATTCGATCTCTATATGCTAAGAATCAGGCTCAATCAGTGAAGATAGCTTTGAGACTCTTTCAAATGAAAGTCCTCCCCCTTCTTTTGGTGGGCATCTCTTTAGGCTCCCGCAGGGATTTTTTGAAACTGGATTCTATCCAAACGCGATTCCTTAGAGCCATCCTTAGGATTCCCCCCTCGGTAGCGGGTGCGGTTATGAGATTAGAGGTCGGCTGGCAAGCTCTACGGTATGTGGCCTTGAAGACGAAGCTCTGGCTATGGCTCAAGCTTTGTTTTAAACCAGTGGGCATTGCCCCCTTGATACTGAGGGACGATTTCCAATCATCGTGGGAAAGGGAGGTCATTAACGAGGTTCAATCCTGCGGATTGTCTCACCTTTACTTTGAGTCTATGACGTACAATCAAGCTAGAGCTGTGATCTCCCAGAGACTGAGTGACATTGCCAGACAAGAGGACATAGCCCAGGTAAAACCAGGGATGTTCCTAGGGGACCAGATTTATCGGACCATACCAGCCCCCTACCTTGCAGAAATCCACTATGTGGAATACCGCAGACTTCTTACAGCGGCTAGATTAAATGTCCTTGACTCTGTGATATTGTGGGGAAGGTACAGGGGAGTACCATACGCCCAGAGAACCTGTCATTGTGCCATGGATGCGGTTGAGTCCACCGAACACATTCTCTTGACTTGCCCTTCTTATGCAGAGCTTAGACAAAATTTTATAGACCCACTCCTATGTCAATTTAGCTTCCTACCCGGAGAAAACCAGGTTTTACACTTGCTGAATAACGTCACTAGAGCTATACCTTCCTTGGTGGCCAAATTTCTTTTTTTAGCTTTTAAGCGTCGCAAGACTATAATTGACAGTATTGATATGGGGCTATCTGTTTAGCCCATTTTAGTGTTGGCTAAGTTATAAAATCTTCCTGGATGTTTTAACTGTGTATTGACAAATGTACTTTTTTCTGACTGACGGTCGAATAAAAGGTTGATGATGATGATGAGAGTGAGAAAAGAAATGGATGGGTGTGTGAATAGGTACATAAAGTAGAAAATAAATGTCTTTCTGTGTGTCTGTGCTTGGACAATGTATGTATGTATGTAGAGTACAATGTGGAATGTGTACTGTCCCATCAAGCAAACTTGGACAGTTATGAAGTACAAGACTGAAGGAAGATACAATCACCCTTTACGACCCAGATATTGCAAACATGGATGCTACAAAAATCAGCTGAATTGCTGGCATATGCACTGTTAATAAACAACAAGGAGTAGTGTGCTAAATTTGAAAGACTCCCAAATCAAGTTTCTGTGTTTTCCATACTGTAACAGAATTATGTAAGTATATCTCTGGAAAGTATTATTAAAATTTAGTTTTCAGACAGTGATGAAAGCAGGATGGTAGCTTGCATGACAGATAATCTATCCTTTCTAGGTGCCAGGAAGAACAGGGAGGAGGACAAAATGGTTAGTAGTTAGACAAATTGAACACCTAGTATATATTCCATGCAACATATGGATTTCTTGCCCCTTACCTGCCAAAACGGCTGCTTCTGAAGCTTCTGTCTCCCTCTGCTCACCATTTGTGAGTGTTTGTGTATTGCTAAGGACATGGCATGTAAAGCATGGGCCATGGCAAAGACAGCATTGTAGATACTGTAGCTTTGACCTTGCACTGTCATTTCAAAGAGAGATGCAGGAAGGTTCTCTAAATTCTCCATTCCTGTGCAGATATCCCCCACCACTTCATCCAGAATGCGATGGGGAAATACACAGACAAACACATTTTGCCAGAAATCCCAGATGAAATCATCACCATCTGCGTTGAAGGGGTTTCTGCCCTCAACGTATTGATGAAATCCTGGTAGATCATTGGAGTGAATTCTGAAGGTTATGGCACCATTGAATATAGTTGCATCCCAATTGCGCTGAAAGGCCACGGAAATAAACTCCACTTGGGCTGTTGATATCCATACTTTACCTTTTGTATTTGTTTTTGTGCTCCCAAGAATTGATAGATATGGCAGCCATCTCAAAAATATAGTTGTCGAAGCTTCTCCATAGGCCACCACAACATTGGCTTTGCTACCCATCACTATATCATGTATTTTAGCCCCCTGTTGCATCAGGGTGTATCCTTCAGTGAGAAAACTAAACTTGGGGATTGTTTCTAGAAAGGCAAAACAAATACCTCTGTTTGAAAAGAGTGGGAGCACCTTTTGTACAAATCTTTCTCCATTGTCATTGTCAACCACAGCGACCCCAATCCACGTCCACCTGAAATGCAGAAGCAAAGAAAGCATCCCTGAAAACTGGTGGCTTTCTGGGGGGCCATCTGGTAGAAGGGAAGTCCTGGGACTTTAGTATTCATCACGGGAGTGGGACCATATATGAGCTAAAGAGATAATTGTTTGGAGAGAGAGAGAGAGAGAAACACACCCTCCATTAATATAGCAGTTTTATGCAAAGTCAAATGCACTTGGTATTTGCATTTGGGCACCCATATAAATAATGCATTCTTCAAAGCAGCAAACATTTTATCTCTCAACTGTACTACCTGAGTGACTAATGATGAGATTGAAGATCCAGGGGAGTTTATTCTGATCAATACTGAAGCGG